CGTGGTAAATCAACTACAACCGCAGTTCCAGAAACTACCACCCACCAAGAAATGGAAGAAACCACGATAGCATCATCAACTACTACCGCTACTCCAGAAACCACTTCTCCAATGATAATTGAAGAGACCACAGTATCGATATCCACGGAAGCCGTTATAAACTCGACGAAAGCTGAACCCCAAGATAGCGCTACTGTTAAAGAAAGCACATCTATTCCAGAAACAACAACATCGGTCTCTTTCATTCCAGAGACAACCTTTTCCAACTCTTCCGTCCACGCCCGTCAGAAAATTTTTGCACATTCTGAGCAAAAGCACACGGCTGATACAAATTTAAAAGTACGAAGCAAACCAACTACAACATCTCCTCCAGAAACTACGGAAGAAATCATAACATCATCTGAAACCGCTACAAATTCCAAACAGAGTATAGCGCGGCACAGAGTTAGTGGATCTACTAAATACACGGTGAATGATTCTACTGAAGCAGTACTCGTACACAAAGTTCGAGGCAGACCAATTACAACTCTTGCTCCAGAAACCACAGTAGCAAAATCTTCCGCAACGGATAGAAGAAACATTACACGACATAGAACCTCCGATAACATAGAAGAGAATTTGACAGAAACTAAATTAAAAGTGCGCAGTAAACCGACTACAACTAGTTCTCTGGAAACCACCATATCATCTTTAGAAACTGACAGCAACGCTAATAGAAGAAACGGAATTCGACACAGAACAGGCACATCCTTCAATAAAACACAAGAGAATTTAACGGAAACTAAATTCAGAGTACGTAGTAGACCGACTACAACAACCACCAACGCGGAGACTGAAGAAACTATTTTGTCTGGAAGTAATACCTCTACAAATAGTAGAACATTTACACGTCAAAGAGTTGGCTCAATCGCTGAAACTATAGAGGAAAGCTCTGCGGAGATAAAATCCAAGGTACGGGGCAGACCAACTACAACGGCGTCACCAGCAACTATTCTCATTCCAGAAGAAACTACCACATCGCCAGTAACTTATTCTACGATAACAGCATCGACTACTCCTGCTACTCCAGCTACCACAAGTATACCAGAAATGGTAACTACTGTCGCAGTTTCTGTAGGATCTTTGACATTAGGCACAATTGACACAACATCGGAAGTATCGAAAGCCGAAGTCAGTACAACGGATTTGCCACTAACTACTTTAGCACCAGAAGTTAGTGAAACAAGTACTTTGCCCTCAACTGAGGCAGTTACAGACCCTACAGAGGACATAAGCAATATAAAAGTTATTACTGAAGCATCAGCTACCACCGAATCTAGTACATTTGTCATTTCACCAGAAACAACTACAACTGCAGCACCAACGAGTACATTAGCGTCAACGCAGACTGCAACTCCTACTACTAGTGAAACGATCAGCGAAACTGAACAACCCACAACCGAAAGTATAGGAATTAGAATTGCTCAAAAAAGCTTCAAAGGAACCAATCACTCTTTCAGTGGAACTGCTTCAATAAAAACAAAAGTTGGTACTAAAGAAAAGGAAGCGACCACGGAAAATGTTGACACACAAGTACATGGAAGTAAAAGTCGTGCACAGACCACACGTGGTTACGTATTGAAAAATGGTGATCAGGTCTCCAAATCGTTTATTGACACTTCAGCGAATCGTAACACAACAAGTCATACTTATAGTGCTGATGAAAAATCATCAACTACCAGATATTCAAGTAGGAGAGATGAGAGTGAAGACGATGAAACCAAATCCACAACTGCAAGACCACAGACGCGCACCACTTATCGAGGTACATACCGGCCGGGCATGGACAAAGATGATTTATCGTCATTATTGGCGCTTGATGTGAATAAGCACCGATCTTACAACGAGAGCCAATATAACCTCGGTAAGCGTATATATTTCAATGGAATTTACAAAGGGGAAGAAAGTAGTGCATTATCAAGCGAACGAAATTCTTATCAAACGGTTGGCGCACAGCTAGAAAACGCAAATACTGACACACATGAGGGATCTACTAAAATTGGCGCTGACGCTGCTACAACTCAAGATATTTCCATAAGAACAAAGACTGTAAATAATAGAAATGGAACAAACTCTAATCATCGAAGAACTACTGTTATTAGAAGAAGAATAAGTGGCTCTCGAAATGCCACCAGAAATAATAATGAGATCGTGGCAGCTAAGTTGGCAGAAGGCTCTGCTGGCATTAAAACAGTTGAAGGTGTTGGAGAAAATGGAAGAATTAGTACTACGTTCACTTCCACGCAGAAGAAGACTGAAACACTATCACATAATGATGCAGAGAATTTGAATCAAAGTAATTCTGATAATAAACACGCTGTTATGCAGTCAACGAACTCAGAAAGTCTGGGTCCTACAACAGTAGGCGCTCTCGAAGGCAGTTCTAACGAGGAAGAGTCCACCTTAAGTATGAGTAAAAAGTTAGAGGAAGATGTTACTATTCTCGATAATAAAAATATAACAAGTGATGCCGTCAAAAGTGATACGACAAATACCGGCCACTCAGTAACATACACTTCAAAAAGAATTGAGGGTACCTCAGCTGCAGGCGGTGAAGCCGATGCTAACGTCATTACTTCAAGTAACACAGCAAATTCAAGACAACGTACAACGATCGCCAATAATACAAAATCCATCAGGATATCGGACAGCAACTCCGCATCATCTAGCGGTATCGTAACAACCCATTCTAATGAAAATGTGAATAGACAACTTAGCTTATTCGCCAAAAACAGGAAGTTTTTGGAGACTGAAGCTAATGAAACGTCTACTAATCACAATGCAGACCACGAAGACAATTCTGCGCATGTTTCCGAGACAACCACAACAAAGTTAAGTGGTCTCAACAGGGTTGTCACTCAACCGACAGTTAGCGATGATGGTGCAGTTGAAACGGATGAATCAAAAACTAAGGAGTTTTCGAGGAACCGTAGTGCATCCTTTAGATCAGGAAGCGGTCGCGGCAGATATAGCGGTCGCGCACAGTACTCTAATGAAGGTAGTAGGAGAAATGTGAATCGGTTAAGCGCTGCCGATAGATTTTCATCAAAAACCGAATATGATGAAAGTGGCAACACCAAAACTCAAACCACTTATACACAAACTTATAATAACGGTGACGATACGCAGAAAACCGTTAAACGTGTTCATACGAAAACCGTACAAAAAGCGGAGCCAGAATACGAGTACGTATACGAGGTTTTAACTGAGAAAATTCCACCAAGCACACCGCGTCCAGTGACACGTAATCGCGGTGGTGTACGCTTCCGTGACACCGATCTGTCATCCTTACTCTCACTGGATTTTGCAGCCAAGTCGAAACGTAGACAAGAAGGCGAAAAGACAATCGTCAAAACTAGAAGAAAATTAATAAAAAAGCCAGCGACGATAACTGAAAGTGAAAATGTTGAAGAATATGAGTACAATGAGCAGCGCTCAAATAGCCAAGCTACAACCAGACCAACACGCCCGACTGCAACTGAAGGCAGCACAATTGTGCGTCGTACAAGACCCACAAGACCGCTGCGCACAACCACGTCAACAACCCAACGAACTACAGCTGCCGAAGAGGAAGACGTAGCACAATTGGTGACAACAACTGCATCACCAAAACCGACAACCAAAAAAGGATTTGCATTTAAGAGGCCAATCTCCAAACTGACTTCGCAGACTACAACAACTGAGGAACCGCTTGCCGAGGAACCCCTAACTACTACTACTGAGGCGGCTATACAAACAACAAGAAAAGGTTTTGCATTTAAAAGACCAATTTCAACAACAAAAACGACCGAAGCTCCAGCTAAAACTACAACGGTTACAAGTAATGAAACTACCGTAGCAACACCGCGACCAGCTTTACGTCGGAAACTCATAAAAATACAACGTCCTTTGAGTAAAACAAAAGTCGAAGAAGCCGTGAATGTGCAAGAAGTAGTAGTGAAGCAAGCTAAGGTCGTGACTAGTTCACAGGAGAGCTCAGCACCAATAACTACTACCAATAACACTACAGCTGAGGAATCCGTAACTATAACAACCTTCACAACTGAAGAACCACCCAAATCTTTCACTTCTACCTCAACTGAGGAAGCTACTATAATAACAACCACAACGCACGCTGTCGAGAATTCTGACGATTCATTGGATGTACTCAAGAAGCAATTCTCTAACGCAATTGCCAACCTACGGACTAATGCCGATGAACCTGTTAACTCCAAAGGTCATACCACCGTTCTAACCAAAACCACGACAACCACAACAACCACAAACACAGTTGATGGTGAAACTGTAACCAATTCCAAAACCGAAAAAGAGATTACTGAACACAACTCCGTGTCTGATTTAAATAATGAACTGAACGAAGCTGGTGAAGATGCTTCGCTCTCATTGCCTATATATCATCGCAGAAAATACTATCAGTACTATAAAGACTCGCCGGTAATTTACATAGGGAAGCCGCAACCACCAACATCAGCAGAAACCAGCAGCGTCGACATTAAAAAACAAATACACGAAGTATTCAACATAAGTAACGACGGCAATACATCGTTGGATTCTGGAGAGCTGGACAACAATAGCGCAGACGTGGCAGTTGCCACGGTAGACAATAATAATACAGATCATTTTTTATTGAAAACCCCCGGGTCAAAGTAGATGGGCACCTGGGGGCAAAATCAATCGGTACAAAATTTACAACGTCTGGAGAAGAAATAATTGATGACCAAAATGCAAAAGCCGAATTAGAACAGTTATTTGCAACGATGCAAACGAGAGAAAACATAGCGGCTAAGGAATACCTAACCGACACGAAGGATGAAAGCAGCAACAATAATCGTGTTGGCAAAACTTTTAGAGAACCAATCTCCACAATCACACAACTTTCGGCCCTTAAACCCGACTTAGATTCTGCCCTAACCAATCCCACTACAGGAATAACAATAGACAAAGAAATACCCACCATAAAAATAACTCTACTATCACAAGATAAGCAACAACGAAACGCAGATGGGCGCGCTTTACGCAATTACGTAACATTAAATCGCCTGCGTACTACAACAGAAGCATCTCCGGCTGAAGAAACCAACACTGCAAGTAAATATACCAAAACGAAACGTGTGTACGGTACGCTCAATCGAAACAGAACTGAGCAATTGACAAACAACTTAATAAATGAAGAAATTAAAGATCAATCAGCAATTAGCAAGGAAGACATAGTGAGCACTTCCGGGCGACGCACCTTCAATCAATTTAGTAAACCCTCAACACTTCTTATAGCGAAGAGACCATCTTCTGATAATTCGAATGATCAAACCGCTACTAATATAAGTGCTACGAGGACTGATGTAACAAATGATTCCATTGAGGGTACAACACGACGCTCCTTAATTATAACTAATCGATCGAAGTTTGGAACTACAACTGTTAAAACTTTAGAAGAATCAGATGAAAGTAATTATAGCGATGATGTCAGTTCCACAACTACAGATTCTTTGATAAAAACGACACGACGACCGCTAAATGCTCTACCCAATTCGAGATTTAGAACGACGACTACTGAAAGTACTCTAGATAAAACTACGCGGCAACGTTTAAATAGTGTTTATAGTTCCAAATTAAGAACTACAACTGTTAAAGCCACAGAAGAAGAAGACGTGGATGAGGAAGCACAAACTTCATTTGAAAATACAACGAGTGAACCACAAGAAAAAACTACTAGCCGACCTCCAAATAGTAGCAACAGTTCCAAATTTAGAACTACAACTATTAAAACTATAAAGAGTGAGAACGAAGATGAGGAATTGTATGAGACAACTATTTCTTTGCAGGAAAAGTCTACTCTACGACCTCTAAATATTATCAATGGGTCCAAGTTTAGAACCACAACTGCTACAGTTGAGGATAATGATAGTGAGGAAAGTAATAGTCAGGAGGTGCCATATGCTTCAATTGAAAGTACAACCAATGAACTTCTGGAGCAACCAACACAGCGTCCTCTAAGGCCTTTAAATAGTAGTTTAAACAGTTCCAATTTTAGAACTACAACTGTTAAAATTGGCGTAGAAGATAATGATGTTGAGGCAAATGGCAGTGTGGATGAGACAACAAAAACAATTGAAAGCACTACAAGTGAATCTCTAGGAAAAAGAACTCGACGACCTCTAAATAGTATTAACAGCTCAAGGTTTAGAACGACTACATTTAAAACTGCTGAAGAAGATGATGATATTGAAGGAAGTAATAGCGCGAAGCAGACAGATGCTTCAATTGAAGTCACCACCAGCGAGCCTCTAGCAAAAACTACACGCCGCACATTAAATGTTATCAATGGCTCAAGATTTAGAACAACAACTGTTAAAACTACCGATGCAGATACCGAGAGTGAAGAAAGTAATATTGACGATGAGAAAACAGCTTCAACAAGGGCACCGCAGCCAAACACAACTCGACGACCTCTAAATTTTATTAACAGTTCCCGATTTAGAACAATAACGGTAAAGTCAAAAGGTAGTATTGAAGGGGAAAGTACTGATGCTAACACTCTGGAGAGTTCGATAGATACCACCACAACTAAACCGCTGGAAACAACAACTCGACGGTCATACAGCAGCATTAATAGACTCAAACTCAGAACCACAACCGCTGGGAGTGTGGAAGAACAAGACGAAGACAGTGCAGACAAATTAGTTAAAGAGGACGTCGGCACCACCACACGTCGACCACTGATTGCCTTAAACAGGTTTAAAACTACAACAGAATCCGCTATAAGAGATCAAAATAGTGCTGAGGACTATATACAGGAAGTAACTTTAACAAAAGGCACAACGCGACGACCATACACAGCTGTGAACAGGTTAACAATAAAAGCTGCGACACGGGACGAGGAAAGCTCGAACGAGCAAACCGCCGAGGTTGAAGCCAGCACAACAACTGTTGATACACTTAATACAACCAAGGGCAAAACACGTGTATATGCGGTGTTGAATCGTAAGACTCTTGTCACCAAACCACCAGTGGTTATCTCGGACGCAGTAGATACGACGAGCTTCGAAAGTTCAACTGAAAACGGATACAAACGGAATTATACAACTTTGAATGAAGTTAGCAACAAAGACACATCCAGTAGCGTTGCCAATTCAACGAATATTGGTAAGGGAGAGAAAGTGGAAGACGAAGAAAATGTGCGGATCATAGAAGCTACAACCAAACGCACATATTCAACTTTAAATCGCATTAGCACAACCACTGAAAGTTCAGAAGAGGTGACGGCGAAGGATAATGCGGCAACTACAAGTACGGAAGAGAGCTCCAACACAATATTTGAAAAAAATGAGTCGAAGCAGTCCGAGGAGAACACAACCGAAACTGTAACCGATAGCAGCTATAACAGCACCGCTAGCAGCGTAGAAAACATTAACACAAGTACAACAGAGAATGAGTATGATAATAAAGCAACGCGTCGTCCAGTTCTGATAAGAAAGCGTATTTACGTAACAACTACTACAAGTGCGCCAAGTGAAGACACCACCACTGAAAATAGCATCGATACTACTACGGAAAGCACCGGTCGACGAACTGTAAATCTTAGAAAACGTATACAGAGCACCACAACCCAAGCACCAACCACTGCGGCTGCTGCAGAAGAAACGAACAATACGACGACTAAGCAAAACACTACGCTTAAAGCTACACGTGTTCCTTTGCTCATACGTAAACGATTGAATGCAACGAGCACAACCACCACAGAAACGCCAAACCTCGTCGATGTAACGTCTACGAGTGTTGAAACTATAACGCGTCGTCCATTTGCTGGTTTTAACCGACAGCGTCTAAGCACTACAACGCAGTTGCCAGCGGAGTCACTTACAAATGGAGATGACACAGAATCGGCAAAAACAGAATCAGAATCAGAATCAAGCAGTACGAAGAAAATCGCATTTGGACAGACAAATCGACATCGTGCGCTCCTGCTGCCGACAACTGAAACGTCAACGACTACCATAGAGACGATTGATACAGATTCAACAACGCGTCGCACTTTCGGCATTAATCGTGCGAAAACGACCATAGTGACACCTGCCAAAAACGCAGAAAATTTGACCACCAAGCGCACTTTTAATGTGTTTGCCCAAAAGACACGACCAACCACAACAAAACGACCTCTACTACCAAGCATCAACCGAAGTCTGTACCAAACGGCTGAAGAAGTAGAAGATGTAGATGACAAAGAATACAGCGATGAATATGAAGAGGCGCTAACACCAAGCAAACCGGAATACCAGCGACCACAGTTCTTCACAAGCGAACGCACACGACTGCAAGCCGTCACGCGCCGTCCATATAAGCCATCAAGCGCCGCAGATAGAGAATACTACGATGAATATGAGGACAGTGATGATGAATATGATGAAAACTCAGATGAAAATAGTGAACCGAATCGTGCGGCATTTGGCCGCTCGCCAACCAAACCACCTACGACCGAACGACAGCATAGCTTGCAAAACTTGAGAGACCGCGTCAAGTTTAGTCAAACACGTGACGAAAATAACGAAGGCGTCGTAAACTCAAGACTGCAACTGCTTGCAGCCAATAGGGCCAAGACCACTGCGAGACCAACCACTACCGATACTGACAAAAAAGACGAACGTATTGATGACGGAGACACAAGCGCTGAGCACGACAGCCACGCACTTAATGTAAAAAATAGCATAGTTAGTTTGTTCGCAAATCGTAGTAATACTAACCGTACCAGCACTTTAGCTAACACGTTAAGTGGAACTAAAATTAATTTAAGTCTCAAGTCTAACAGCGCACGAATAACCGATGATGTGAGTAGTCATGTAGTTAAAGAAGCAGAACGTGAGGCTGATAAGCAGTTTGATAATGTTGATTATAATGATGTTGATAATGATGATGATGTTGTAGTACCAAGCACTAATGATAAGGGTAATGAAGTTAATTCTAAACGACGTTTTCAGAAATATCAATTCAACCGCGCAAGATTCACAACAACAACGACTACTACTACTTTAGCGCCAACAACAACAACGTCGGCGACGCGTGCCGCTACTAACCAATTTACGCCCAAACAATTATACCAGTCGAACAGAAATAGAACAGCAACAAGAACAAATCAGGTAAATGCGTTAGTAGATGATAAAGGTGATGATGATGATGATGATGAAGAAGATGAGGATTATGAGGAAAGTGAAGTAAATGAAGACAGCACAATCACAACCACCGAAAGCACGTTAACCACTAGTCCAGCTCCCACACTGAGACGTATACGAGTGTTAAAGTATCGCCGCCTAGTTGGCGACAATAGTAATGCTACCTTAATTAGTACTAGCGTTAATGATAATAGTAATTCTACAATTTCTAGTGTTACTAATACTACCAACACTGTTAGTGAAAGTTTAGATACACCTGTTTCGTCCGAACAGCAAGTAGAACGTACTAGATTAGCACCCTTTAATGCCACAAACCCTGATACACAAAAAACCCAAAGTGAAAGTCCTGCAAATACAGAACAAGTGCCAACAAAACGTTTCCGCAAAGTTATACGCAAGTTAATACGACCGTTGAATCGTACAACCGAAGCAACGCTGTCGAAAGAAACTAAAGTAGACAATGGAACAACTCTTACAGGTGCGACACGTATCAATGGTACACGTTACGGCTTTGGACGTGGGAACAGCTTCCGCGCACAAACCGTTGACGCAACGGGTGTGCGTGAGAGTGACACCATTACCGAGGATAGCAAGCTCAATAAAGCGCGCACGAACTTATTTGGCAAAGTCAATCGTACGCGCTTCGGTAGCGATGTGAATTCGGGCAGTACTGAAAAACAATATGAAACCGATGAAGAGGATAGTGAAACCGATACCGAAATCGAAACGGAAACAGATACTGAAGCTGTTACCACACCTGTAACAACCCAAAAGCCACGCGCTGCCTTCATACGGCCGAAATCTAAGGACACCACGACCGTTACAAGTGGTTTTACACTCCCGACGCGACGTCCGTTTGTGTTTTCGCGCGCGAGTAGCACAACGAAAGCGGCTGCTGAAAATGCGGAAGATGGCGAGGAAGATGGAAATGAAGACGAAAATGAAGAAGATGCTGACGAAGAAGAAGATTATGATGACATTGTAGATGGTACGTCAACACCAGCATTGGAGCAAGAGAAAGAAATAGAGAACAAACAAAGTAATGTAACAGTTGTCACAGAATCTACCGAAAATATCAGTGCTGAGCAAACACTGTCACCGCGACCAATTGTAGGAACCACACGTTTGAAAAAACTACTGCCACATGTCAATGCTACAACTGCAATCGCCACAAATGAACTCGAAGATACCACGGATACAGACAGCAACACCAATGAGACGCCAATAAAAAATACACTACCCATAACCAGACGTCCTTTCGGTTTACTTGCACGTACCAAAGCCACACAAAATGAAACTGAAACGGAGAGTAATACTGAGGAACAGGATACGGCCGTTATAGTAACCACTACTATACCGAGACGTCCCTACAGTATAGAGTCACGCTTGAAAGTAACACAAAATGAAAGCGAAAGCCATGATGAAGAACAAAATAATGCTGAAGTAACTACCGCCATACCTAGACGTATATTTGGACTTGGCGCACAGACGAAGTTAAAACTAAATGAAACTGAAAATGGCACCCAAGTAGAAGAACATGAAGAAGCCACAACGAAGAGTACGCCGCTGGTGCGTCCAACATTCCGTAGAAAACTAGTCGCCAGACGCCCATATGTGCCACCAAAGGTATCCGGTATTACGATCTCAACTACAGTGCCAACCACACCGAAGCCGAAACGCAAATTTGTACGCCGTAAATTCGGACGTTTCCATCCTTTCAATTCCGTTAACCGCAACACAGGTGAAGGCTTTGTGCGTACAGATCCACGCGGTCAGTTGCTGCCGGAAACCAAACGTTTCCGCATACAGGATGGCAAGCGAGTGCCCATACCGGATAGTGAAACTTTAGCTGAAGATGAGGAATACGAAGAATATGAAGACGAAAATGATGAAGATGAGGATGAGGATGAGGAAGAAACAACCACGAATGATGAACAAAACAAACCACAAACTCCAGTACCGATCGTACGTCCGGTTACACGTCCAACTGGCTTGTTCAATAAACCACCAACTACATTGTTAAATTCCTTTAGAGAAAAGGCAGCAGAAACTGAAACGGACACTGAAGAAAACGTGGCTAGTGAAAATGAGGAGGAAGACGAAGACGAGGAGGAAGACGAAGATGAAGAAAATTTCGATGCGTCAGGCGATGATACAAAACAAGCATCACCCAAATTCAATACACCTACATACCGTCCTAAAGACAACCGGGTACCACCCGGTGCACGCCCCACATTACCCTTAACCTCTACACCTACTTCAGGTAATGTGCCCTTTAACGGCAGAGCCCGCCAGCCACCATCCTCAGCCGAACGCACCAATGGTAATCGTTTCGGTACCTCTGCACTTGGCAACACGCGTGTCACAAACAGACCGCGTGTTGTTAATAGGCCACAAGGTGTAGTGCCACCAAGTCTGCCACTCAAACCGATTGCCACCACTTTTGAGCGCACCACACCTGTGGTACCGACAAAGCCGGCACCATTTATACCAACCAACACACGTTCCTATGAACGGAAATACACAGCCACCTCCACAGAGACACCGGAAACCATTAGCGATAATTCACTTATTGAAGATTTAAATATCGAAGCACTAAATGCACGCAACAAAAAGATATTTGACATCAATAGCAAAAAACACACTACCCTAAAACCGAAAATAGCCATTCCAGGCGCCAAACAAACACCAACAGATCAACAACAAGATACACAAGATCCCTTCAAACAAAACACAGAAACAGAAAACGATGATGAATACACAGCAGATGTGGGCGGTGGTGAACAGGGTTACATAACCACAACACCACGCACATCCGCCGCAAGCGACACGAACACTGATTATTATGTCAATGCTAATAAAATCTCTTCACAGGACAATGGGTCAGTTGGTGAGCGTACTATATTTACGACACCGCAAACACCGACCACGACTCTACTGCACGTATTCACGCAGACCGATGACGAGCAAACTAATCGGCCACCAACCGACAGCGTAAAAACAATTGGGCGATTGGTACCAGAGAGGGCGCGTCCCAAACACAAAGTGGTAGAGATCAATCGTATTGTTGAGATCACCTCAAAGGCCGAAAAGCTGCGACGCAAATCGAAATCAAATCAAGAATTCTTCAAATCGATCGGGGAGTCGCAACTACAGGTCGAGTCTTTGCCACATTTAGAGCAGCTGGGCGAAATCAGCGTAGTGAAATTTGTGCATTTGGTAGATGGTAGCGATATCTCCGTTGATGGACACAGCACTGTTACCGATTACACTCCAACAGAGGCGACTGCATCAGCGCCTGTAAGGAATTCGTTGCCCGAGGGTGTGCCTTACTTTGTGCCACAATATGCCTATTCTACGGAGAGTGCACAAGTGCGCACTACTTTGGAACAACGTAACGGTAAAGCATTGATACCCGAAGTTATACGCAGTTCAGTGGAGTCCTCAACCATCTCCTTGGAAGGCTTATTCGAAGGTGGACGCCAAGGTAAAGAACTCAATTCTGTAAATAATGTGTACTACATATTCGGTACTGACGAAACAACCACAACTAGTACCGTTAACATAAATGAGAACGCAAACGTTAACGTGAATGAAACACAAAACATAGAATTTACAACACCAAGTACAAGCACGAGCTCTAGTTTTGCTTTACCGACAGCCACGACATTACCAACGACAGAAACATCCACCACCACAATTGCAAGCGCTTTGCCCTTAATCCCGCATAGCGATAGTGTAAATAACATTCCTAACGAAGTCTCCACAAATTTAGAATCCACAACGATTGTAGGTAATACCGTAGCTGAAGATGAGAACACAACAAAAATGCCGTTGATAGCAAACTCAAGCAAAATTGAAGCAACTTTCAGCCAATACAATGCTAATTTAGCTGAAGTTAACAGTAATCTCGTGGAAACGACTACATCTACAGCGATAGCCACCGAAGATACGGCTAGCACCGATACGGCGGTGAAATCAAGCACATACGTAAGACCCGTTGTACCATTACCACTCTTACGACCCGAATCCAATGAATCCTCCCCCCTAGTCATAACCATAGCCAACCTCGACAAAGTCATACTCAGTAAAGTGGATCGCACAGTCTCAGCCGAAAATAAGGCGGCCTCCACCATCACTGACCAAACCCAATTAACCGAACCCAAACCCGCTGACTCGAATGCAGAATACTCCAGCCGTTTTGCCTCTGTCATTCAGGCACCCACTAATCTCATACACGACACAAACGCCAAAGCGCAAGACGCAGGCGCGAATGTGTCTAAAACCGTAGCTTTCAGTGTTGGTAATAGTAGTGACAGTGATAGCGCTGCAGGTTCTAGTGTTAGTACGAATACTACGAGTAGCTTAAGTAGTGGCAGCATAGTGAAAGAAGTGATAAGCTTTAGCACCGAGACACATGTGGTGCGTAAGAAGAAATCGCGTAAACATAGGGCGCGTAACTTGCAGAAATCTGGTAAGCCCAGGCCCACCACAGTGGCGCCAGCTGACGCGCCTGTCGTAACAGTAACCCCAAATGTTGTCAGCAATGATGAGGGTTACCAAACTAGCAGCACAAGCGCAAGCGTTACAGAGTTGCCAACAACAACGCCAGCGCCGATAACGACGCCGCGAGTGCGTGTCATACAATTCGATTGAGAATGTTTAGCGCTTTAGTTTAGCTAAATTTAAGTGAAAGCTTCTGCAGTTAATAACGCAAAGAGCTTATATTATTACATTGAGCTACGTGAGTTGGTGTACACATTTACATGTGTGTATACTGTAGTAAAGAATAAAGGGTGCAGCGCGTAGGTTTGTTTATTTATATTATTATTATAAATTTTTTCACATAAAATACTCGTCGTAGCTTATAAACTTCTAGTCTTACCATTATTTTGTGCGTCTTTTAAGCTGACGATTTTAAATATATTTTGTTATTCTACTTAAATGCAAATAAATATGTGAAAAAGTGAAATAATTATTTGCGTTCGCTTCTTAACAAACATAATTAAGTATTCTTTCAAGCAACCCACTAAATTTATGCTCTCTTTTGATGCTTTCTCCTTTTCATGCTCACTGTCACTCTCTTCAAATGTTCATTTTTCATATACCCAACGCGTGTGGCTCTAAAATGTACGTAAATAACTTCGTAAATACTTATAGTGTCAGCACATTAGTCAAGCTTTAAGCGCTATTAAGAGCGCATTAGAAGAGAGTTGGTTTGTATACACAAGCAGCTGTCAAAGTCCAAACTTTGGACAATGCTTTTATAAAAATAAGTATTATCCAAATCACCGAAATATGTTCGCAAAACATGAAGGGTATTTTCTCCATCGGAGATCTCGACAACAACGTAACAAAGAGTTAACATAATAATACTTAATTTCAAGCTTGAAAGCTAAGTATTCGCGTTTAACGAAACTATCGAACCTTAATAGACGTTTCGTTTCAATTAATTTATTTTGTCAATATATTCAATAGAGTTTCTATTCACTTATATAACACTATCTAAAAAACTTCTGTTTCTACCAACTTCAATATATAAAAATTTTAGACCATACTTCTCTATTCCATCTAATAACTACACCGCTCTCTTGAAAAGCATTTGAGCAAATGTTCTCTGATTTACCTAACAAATAAGAACCTGTCTTCAAAGCTTTTCATGCAAATTCTCTCTACTTTGCAAGAACTCTTTGAAGCTTTTATGGTATATGTTCTATCTAACATATAAATCAATCTCTCCTCAAAACTATATCAAAAAAATGATCTCTAAAATGAAATTCCACATCTAAAATCTCTAACTTTTTAATTAAATATTTTGAAATTCGCCTTGAACATAATGTGCTCGAAGCTCTAAATGTCATTTTGTAATTACAAAAATTATTAAAAATTTTGAAACCGCTTTCCTTACATAGAAATTCGCCTTGAGCCTAATGTGCTGAAAGCTTAAAAGTCTTTTCTGAAATTACAAAAATTATTAAAAAAATTTTAAATCGCTTTCCTTACATAGAAATTCGCCTTGAGCCTAATGTGCTGAAAGCTTAAAAGTCTTTTCTGAAATTACAAAAATTACTAAAACTTCTCTGCATTGGGTATAAAAAGTTCGGTTTTATTCGAGCTTAGTTTTCTAAATCTATCAATCTGTCAGAATCAATGTATTTGACTTGACTATATACTTGAAAAATTTTATAGGTTTTTGTCTAGACTAATTTAGAGCTTTTTCATAACGTTTATTCTTTACTTAACTACGTATTTAGAGTAAAATTTTTTAGTTTGCTGAGGAATCGTTAGCTTTTCTAGGTATTTTTCTCATATAAATGCATACATACATTCAAGAACAAGCATATGTCCGCTGTCATTTAAAAAGTTCAGCTTGTATGAAGGTAACTTGCTTGCTATGCTGCTGCTTTTCGCTACATATTCATAAGCTTTTTTGCATAAAAAAGAATCGAAACAAAAGCAAGAAATCATATATAAAAATTGAGTCATAATAGTAAAAATTTGCTTCCAAACATATAAGTACACTTACATATTTAAAAATGTTTTTATGTACGAAAAAATATGCAATAAATATGTAAAAGTGCCTCAAATCTGGTGGTCATATCCGCTAAAAGCACAGAAACGGCGTTAATACCTTAAAAAAAGAAAACTTTTATTGGTTCAGTTAAGTTTCGTTTATTTTTCTAACATATATTTATTTCTATTTTAAACTTTTATACCCTCTACACCTTTATCGCTACACTTTTGTACTATACTTTTGTATTTATATATTTTAACATTTTCAAAATATTTACAAAGTACTTATCGAAAATCGTATATGTATTTAAACAAAAAAACAGTACATAAGTCACAAGTATAATTAGTTGTAAAATATTTATGTATATTTTTATAAAAATGACATTGTAAGTACTCAATAAAAACAAAACCAAAATGCACAAATACTTTGTAAAAATACAAATTTTAATTATTGTATATAAACAATTAAATATACGTTTCTTATGTAGTAGCACACAATAACTACACAAAACACTTTTATATACGAACTTTTTTAAACATATTTTATTTGTTACTTTTTAAATTTAAGGCTGTATGAATTTACGTTAATAATGTCCTTACTCACAAAATAATCACTTACCTACAGCAAGTAGACAACCGTAGACTAACAGTAATTACTTGAAGCACATAAATGAGGCGCTCGAAACTAGAGACTCTCATGTACTTACATATACACATACTATATATATAATTATTTTTTACAATCCAATAATCAGTAAAACTAGGTCACTGTGAGCGGAAATTTTCAATTAAGTCTTTGTGGTGCTTTCTATTTTTAACATATTTTTTATAATTCATATTTAAAAAATTTAATATCAGTAATTTTTATGAATTTCTAATTGATATTTAATTTTTTAATGGGTTAAAGAAATATGAAAAAAAATAATATTCATAAAAATTAAATTCTCAACTTTTAAAGTCAAAGTATAACCAAAAAATAATTAATAATGCCTAAGTTGTCAAATTATTTGAGTAGTGAATTGAAAACCGTATTTACGCTGTCTCTCACTCCCTCGTGTCCGCTGAGCTACTAAGCGGCGAAGCGGAAAGTAAAGGGTGATACATTTCGAGGTTCCCTACTTTTTTAAAGAAAACAAGTAAAGAAGGGCTAAGTTCGGGTGTCACCGAACATTTTATACTCTCGCATGATAAAGTGATAATCGACATTTCAGGCGTGGTTGTCAATCGATTTCACCCATATTTGATACATGTCATCAGGGTGTTAAGAAAATATTATATACCGAATTTCATTGAAATCGGCTGAGTACTTCCTGAGATATTGTTTTTGGTCCATAAGTGGGCGACGCCACGCCCAGTTTCAATTTAAAACAAAAAAAAACCTGGATGCAGCTTCCTTCTGACATTTCCTTAAACCTTATGGAGCCAGGAAATACGTGTACCAAGTTTCATCATGATATCTTAATTCTTACTCAAGTTACAGCTTGCAAGGACGGACGGACAGACATCCGGATTTCAACTCTACTCGTCACCCTGATCACTTTGGTATATATAACCCCACACCTGACTCTTTTAGTTTTAGGACTTACAAACAACCGTTATGTGAACAAAACTACAATACTCTCTTTAGCAACTTTGTTGCGAGAGTATAAAAACACAGATACTTCAATTTTAATGGCTAATGTTTATTATTATTCGAAAGAACATTCTTGAAAATTGTCTCTTTCAAATATTCGACTTGTAACTGGCGAATGAGACGCTTGATGTTTTGCTCCAAAGCCTGAATCGGTATAGTCTTTAGATTTTACATATCCCCACAGGAAAAAGTCTAACTGTGTGATATCACATGATCTTGATGACCAATCGACAGACCCGAAAAGTGAAATTATCTGCTCACCAAAGTGTTCTCTCAATAAATACATACCAGATTGATGCGATGTGTGAAGCCGTCTTGTTGAAACCAAATGTCGAAGACATCATGAGCATCAGTTTCAGACTTCAAATAATCGGTTATATTATGACGGTTACGTTCTTACTGGCATAATTTTTGAAGAAATATGGACCGATGACTCCACCGGCCCATAAATCATACCAAACCGTTGTTTTTTCTGAATGAAATGGCAGGTTTTAAATCGTAAAGAATGCTTTTCGTCCGAAATGCGACAATTTTGCTTTTTTACATACAAATTGAGCCAGAAATGAGCCTCATCGCTGAACAGAATTTGGCTCGAAAACGTCAGATCTTCTTGGAACTTTTCAAGAACCCATTGAGCGAAGCGATGCCACTGCGCCAAGTCGTTTCATACGTTAGTCTGAGTTGCTGCGAACGGCGCCGAATCGACTATCCACGGTCTTCGTGTACACTTTCAGTTACTCGAAAGGCAAATCGTGTCATAAAAAATAATACTTCTATCCGACCTTCTTGAACATTCTGGTTCGAATTATGAAGCAGTCCAGAATTATCTATGTGTGCCTCTTTATATATCCATGATGAAAGTTAAAACCTCCTCCTCATAGCGAAAAATAATGCTGTCTTTTGCGTGACATCTCCACCATGTACATACACATAAATCTGTTATCAGGTAGAGGTGTATAAAATTTATGAATAACTTTTTTGTTTAAATATCCGCATTCGCTTCAACTACTTTTCATTTTATTTAGAAACATAGTGAAAGTGTTGCTTACAATAATAAAATCCACACTTATACCTGCGACGGTTTTTGCTTAACAGTTGAACCGAATTTTCTAGTTCTTGAGTAAAACTAAAACCGCTTGCCATTTCATTATTACTCGGTTCGTTATTTTATCGATTCATCACTCCACTGTTTCTATTGTTTTGTAATTTCTTTGTGCTCATAGGCTAGACTTAGTGACTCACCCAACAAATTCTTTGAATACGAAACCTATAAGACTTTTGATTTTACGTCAGTCTGTATTTGAACCAATAATGTTGAATAGGTCGATACATTCAACTCAGTGGTAGTCATTGTTATAGTTTAGTTTATTCTATAGTTATTATTCCAGTACAATTGGTTATTTTTGCCACACATACTTCCCTATGTAACTCAATTGTCGGAACCATCAATATCTGACCATTATACATATATGCTATAGCTACCATACAAACTCAAGGGTTCGAACCATGTTCTTGTATAGAAAACTTTTTTATTTGACAAGATATCGTCTTCGCTATCCCCATGCAAGTCAAAGACAAATCAGAAGAGCTAACCAATAAATACGAAACATTTGCAACCGAAAACCAAAAGAGTGTCACCTTAGTTTCAAATGTTTAAAATCGCTCCTCAGCAAATTTCGTTATACAGAGCAACAAAATGAACTTTTACGATGATTTTTACATTGAACAACAACTATTTTATTGAAGTAAATATGTACATACAAAGTTTCTCAGTCAAGTCACGCATCGGAAATTTAGCATACTGCTTGACAGGTGCTCGTAATAACAACAAAGTGCCTCGCGAACGTGCTCTTCGTCTAGCAACACTTGGTGCCAGCAGACATCCGTGAGCAACAAATAAAAGCACCGCAATCTTATGTTGGTTGCCGCTTTATGCTGATCTCATCCTAAATGACTTAAAACTGTGGTGTTCAAAAATATATTTGAGATATTTTTTTAGTTCAATTATTTTTTTGTTGTTTTAGTACCAATTCGCACCCATTTGTGTAGCCAATTCAACAAAAAAAGCTTATTTCAAACTTCGCTAGCGTAATCAAATATTCTGTAGTCGCTTCAAAGCGATTATATCACAGAAACGAAAATTAACAAAAAAAAACAGTAAATTCAGGTAAAATCCGGCTCTTGAAACTTGCACTAACGTGTGCTGCATACGAAGTGTGTTCACTTAACTGCATATTTGTGCATTCATGTATTAACATGCGCTTTGCATGAAAAGAATGCTTATTGAAGTGCAGCAGTTTGGATGACACTGCACTTACACTGTTTTGAAGTGAAAAAAAACAACAAATATGCAAATTGTTTGTACACACAATATACGTTTACTTTAAATTACCTGATATTCACTTAAATATTCTATTCTAAGTGAGCATGCAACAATTATTAGCCAAGTTCATAGCCAACGCTTGAGCGAGCGCCAACACTCGATTGCTGACATAAAGCTTCAGCCAGCAAAACAAAAATCACCAGCTCGGCATATTAATRCCGCATGTTTTACCGTAATTTTATGCTCGATTGCAGTGGCTAGATTTCATGCGTACCTCCACCATGTTGGTTATTCGAAACCATGCATTATTTCATATGAGTAGCGGCAATAAATTGTTGCGTTTTTACGATTTGCTCATGCAAGTGTTGTTTACTCGAAATTGTTAAATTCACGAAACTTGATTTTCAAAAGGTAGCAATTTTTGGTTTTTTTTTTTTTGAATACTCATGTGCAAACAAATATGCAAGCAAAAGTGTTCAAAATGCAAGCAGCATTCAAAATGTCACAAAAATAGTTTTAGCAAATACTGATAAATTTAAAGTAATTTGATTTTGTTGGCAGTAACTGAAAGTTTTGCGGTCAGTTTTAATTGTAAAAATAATGATCTAGTTTTTATAGTTTCTTGTCGAACTGGCTGCTACTTTAAGTCAATGATGACAATTTCATTTATGTATACTCAATTAAAATAAATATTTACAGTTTCGACAAATTTAACTTAAATATATAAATTGAGATATCTCTTCAGTCGATAACTTTCTAATACGATTTACTAGATAAAACATGTATAAC